TTTAAAATTCTCACTAAATCCAGTGCTTTAACCATTTATTCCTCTCTTTTTATAAGCTATTTTAATGAGGGGAACAAATTTAAAAAGACAAAGAAAAAAGAAAGAATGATGTCAAAATTTGGCTGGAAATTTTGTTGGGAAAGGAGAAAAAAGGAGTAAAAAAAACTTATAGAATTTTAAGATGGATAAAATGATAGACATAGTCTAAAGTATTCAAGTTTTGAAAGAAAAAACTGTAACATGGAAAAATTAAGACTATGCTGCTTGTCTGTTGGTTATACCATTTATGCTCAAAGGAAAATAATGTGAAGTATAGGTAATTATTTTACAGCATTGGAAATAGTAAGAAACATACTAGGCTTTTGGTTCTACCTAGCTATCTATACCCCGGTATCTGTGTTTTTTTCTCTGTGAAACCTGACAATTAAATTCATGAACCCATTCTTGAAAAAGTGTTACATACCTCATTACTAAATACATTATGGTCACTTCCCTTGGGAAGCTATGTGCTGATGCCAGCATCTAGTCCACCCTTCAAAGCAATTTCAGAACTCTTTCTAGAATGGCCATCAAAGCTTTTGTTGTATTATCCTTAATGCCCTGAATGTCATCAAAGTTTCCTTTATCTTTGAGTAAAGAACAAAGTCTTTGGGGCCAGATCAGATGAGTAGGGAGGGTTTCCCACTACAATTATTTGTTAACTGGCAAAAACTCCCTCACAGATGGTGTCATGTGAGCTGGTGCATTGTTTTGATGCAAGAGCCATGAGTTGTTGGCCAGAATTTTGCCAATTTTTGCAATGTTTTCATTGTTTCTGCACATTACTGGATGCCTTAACCTCTCTCGTCAGTGACACTTTCTCTCCCCTGAGAAAAATGTTTAATTTATTTGTACATTGCCAGTTTTCTTCATGGAATTATCTCCCCAAATTTGGAATAACATGTACCTGATTTCACTTATACTCCTGCCAAGTTTAATAAGCAATTTACAAATGTTTGTTGGATGCTCTAATTCAAATTCTGACATTTTCTCAACAACATACAAAACACCCAACAACAATATTGAATTCTACTCAGCAAGACACCACCACATGTCCACACAAACACAACTGTAAGACACTGTAAGGTTATGACACTTCACCAAGCTGTTTGCAGAATGCTCCAAACAAAAGTGCACCATGGCACACAAACTTCATCATCAGAATTTGCATGTACAAGGATTATGTCAGAAAAAGAAACACTTGGATGGCTCTTAATTGGGGGAAAAATGAAACTATCTGTGAAAATTAAGGAGACATAAAGAACTTATTGAACAGAAAAAACAAAGAACTGTAAAGGTAAAGAAGAGATTGAGACTACTTTATATACATATTTTGGAAGCAAATCTTGGATGCATATAAAACCATAAGATACAAAGAAACTTTCTCACAATGAGGTAGAACATGGCACAGCCACTGATTGCATATGATAGGATCATGGGAAGGAGGATTCAAAATATTATATTACATTCTTTTGCAGAAGTGACAGAATACCTTCCCTTCATATATCCCTCCATGTGTGATAATTACAAACATTGAACAAATGAAAGGCAGGCAGATCTAGAGTAGGCTCCTCACAGCAAACTCCTGGCAAAGGTCTCACGTCTTGAATTGCAGTTTCAGAAGATCCCCTGTTATATCTGAGGTGGTAGTAGTAACAATGGCAGTGAGAACTCTGACAATAGTAACTCATAGAATTGTAATTATGGCAAAATCTCTATCAGAAAATGTTTGATGAAGCCCAGGATTTGAAAAACATCACAGCTAGCCAAAACAGAGAGGGCAAAACTGGTTGCACTCACCTCTGTAAATTTCTGCAGCTTGAACAGCTTTGTTATAGATTTTGTCCCTTACCCCATCATGGATAATGACACTTTCCTCTTAATTTGGAGGGTAATGAGGTGGAATTTCAAGTGCAACAGCAATTGCAGCATCTTGGTGGATGGGTCAGGACTGAGCTGTGTGCAGCATGCTTGAACCATAAACTGACCGGGTCTGTGAACAATGAAATTGTATTTTCGATTCTTGGAATACTTAGAGAAGAGCTCATCATACTCTACTGGATGTCCTGGTGCTGTGCAGTGGAGCATTTAGAGCATTACAACTTGGAGAGGAATGTTAACATGGCCTGCTAATTCACAAGAGGGAAGGCCTATGGTGTAAGGCTAAACTGCAGTATATTATTTACCAAGGCTTCAGGGCTTTTAATCTTTGTAATTAATTTATTAAAAAGTGTGATATCTAAGGAGAATTCCCAAATATCTTAACTGTGCCTATCTGTCTATCTATCTATCTATCTATCTATCTATTTTCTTTTCTCAAGAGAAAAGGTCTTGTTTTATTACTCAGGCTAGAGTGCAGTGGAATGATCATAGCTACTGCCAACTCAAATTCCTGCACTCAAGTGATTCTCCTAGTATTTGGGACTACAGGCTTATACCACTATGCCCCACACTATACTGGCAGGGTTTTTGTTATTGTTGTTTT